TTTGTGTGTTTATGACTGGATTATGTGAATTCATCAACTCATATCATTGTTTACTTGGTCACTCTTAGACTGTCTTCCATTCTTCTCCCAGCAAATATGCTTTAGTCATCAGAATAGTGATTTCCTTCATATTTGACTCTTTAACTGGTTACTGTTTTTCTTCCTTCAAAAAATATGAAGATATTCTAGTACAGACACATTTGAATCTACTAGATGTATAAAACTCTTAACAGAAGTAACCACACACTTGTTGAGAAAATTGGTGGTGAAAGTTATATTGTTCAGCAATAAAAGACTACAAAGCTTCATCATAGGTGCTTTAATGGGTGAAACTAGATCTCACTGGTCTAAAATATATTAGAGATATGCATGCTATGAGGATTTATGTGTAAGGAGAAAATGCCATCTCCACATGCACTGCATGATGCTGGAAATGACTCAGTTTGGGGTGGAGAGTACTGGGAATTGAATCTAGAGCCTTTTCATGGGCCTATGTCTGCAGTCTTTTTCATTTTTCATTTTGACACAGGGTCCCACTAAATTGCCTAGTGTAGGCTCGAACTTGCAATCCTCCTGCTTCATCCTCCCAGAGCACTGGATTGTAGGACTGTGCCCTCATGCTCAACTGAGACAACTACAGCCCCAATATTAGCTATCAACTTATCCTGCTTTGTTTTTTCTAGTACCATTTATTGCCCCCTGACGTATGTTGCTAATCTGTTTCCACTTCCATGCCCACTTCTCAAAGTAATCCCCATGAGAAAAGGGACTTGTTTTGACCCAGTGCAATGAAGTGCTGGAATAATGTAGAAAGCTTTGATGAATGATGTCCTGCTAGATGCCTGGACACTTGTATTTCCTTTGCCTCCTGTTCTAGCTTTGATATTTAAGAGATAACTGATAACTGTCCTCATTCATTAAAGACAGGTATCCTTTACATTTTCCTACTTGAGTTCGGGTATCTCTGCAGGGGAGAGCAGAGTAACTTATATAGTGGATATTTTCTCCTATTTCCTACTTGTTTTCTGTTTTCCTATTTCCTATCTGTTTTTTGACTCTGCTTTTTGCGTATGATTTTCATCATATGTAGATTTCTATTCTCTGAGCCACTTTTTGTGGAGCAAGTTTTTATATAAGAGTTCTGTAAGGAAAATGTTGGCACACCACCCTCATCTCCTCTTCGCAGAAGTTAGCCCAGAAGGAAAGATCACCCACTGCAAACCTACTCCTTCCTCCACACATACACCCTTCCTCATTGGAGGGTGGTTGGTGTGCCACTTACTAGAAAGCCACATTTTGAAGAAGAATGACAAGAGAATTTCCATCCTTGTCTGAGGTGCTTCAACTTGGATTTTTCTATGTTATACACATGTACAACCCCACCAACCTGGAAGAGTCAGTAGCTAACTTTGCAAAAAATGATACAATACCTACATTGAGAAATCAAAACCCCATTTCTAAAGACAAATCAAGGGGCAGATTCCAAAGTTCTTTGATTCAATGATCAACTTTTTTACCCTCTCCTGGAGCCTTTCAGAACAACCTCATTTATCAATGTGCTGAACTACCAGCAACACGCGTACCAAAGGTAAAGCAGACAGCTCATCTTCATTCTCAAGTGCGCAGAGGCGGCGCTCACACTCACCGAACTGATTCTTCCACACTTCACCCCAGAAAAGAACTTACTTCATTTGCAAAGAAAATACTCTGACATATATAACTAGGCAACGCCTGAAGTGCTTCAGAAAGATAGTATCCTGAGATATTCAGTGTACAGAGTTCTTAAACAGCTTAATAAGTGTATAGATTGCAGAAGACTTGGCATATTGCTATGATATACCGTTCGTTTGGGACAAAACACAGAGAAGTCTTGTATTTTCCTGCAATAACGTATAAATTCCCAGCTACCTCTCTGCACAAAGAACTGATAAATATATAATTAAATAAAGTAAGTGTTTTAGAATTTCCTTTAGAAAAGAGAGAAGGCAGATGTCAACCCAGTAACACAGGATTTTATGATATGCTGTGAAAACTTGAGTGAAGCAGCAAAACTTGAGTGAAAAAGAATGTTCACACGGTGCTCACTGCGGAAATCCTTGTCTCTGTGAGCACATCAACCCAGTTGTCCTCTGACATGTCTGCTCGGATACCTCAGAGGTCCATGCTAGGTGGTTCTGTCCTATAGAAGATGACCTCTTGTCAAATCATTGCTAGGATAGGTTTTCCAAAACCTGACCCATTGTAACATCTTTTGAACCTTTCTAATTTTCTCACCATAGACACACATACACACAAAATAAGCTGTAAAAAATTTTAAAATTTATAAAATCATTGCAATTACTTATGCTAAAAATGAAGTGCTGCCTTATTATATTTTCTGGGGAGTAGTTAGTATCACAGGAACCCTATGGTACGTGCTGTTATCTGACTGTTCATCTGGTATCAAAATTATTTAGTTCTTCATCTGTATCATTTCTATCCAGTTGCAGGAACTTAACAGACGGGACTTAAAATTATGCATCCACATACACACTGGATACTCTATGACATGTTTTAAAGTAAGGTTGGCTATCAGTTTTTAAAGACAAGATTTTTAAATCTTCTGCTTCCAGGAGTGTAAGCCTTTGCAAGACTAGGGTCTTTGAGAAACCATGAAGTCTAAGAAAGGAAAAAAAAATACAACTATTAAAATGCACGTACACTACTGCCTGGCACTGTTGTGACAGCCAGCAGTATCAGCGTCAGTCAATTATCTTCACAAATGCCTCTTGTGCTAATGAGCACTCACAAAAATCAGCAGACTTTTCTGGCAAGGAGAAAAGATCAGTTTCATTGCTTGCAGAACTAATTCAGGGTACAAAAGTGAAGGCTCCGCCATCGCTGCCTCTTTTACTGCTCCTTTTGTAAAGGCTTTTGATGTGCACTGAAGAGCGGGGCCTGTTTGGGCCTCTCCACCTCCAGTTCATTGCCTGCCATTAACATACATATCCATATGAAAAGTGCGCGAAGTCACTAACAGCTGTCCAGAAAGGAGTTTGAGAAGGAAGGCGAAAAAGGGCCTATTCCTTCTCAAAATGCTGACAATACTATTTAGCTCCTTTTGGCAATGATATACCTAACTTTTTAAAGCTGCCTTTCACTCCAAAAGGAACTAGGCATAATACAACATTCAAACACATAGTGTTTTTCATTTTGAAACAGTCATTTGCTGTATTCAGGGGAAAAATGTCTATAGCTACCAGATGCAAGGGAAATCCATCATTCATGATACATATGTATATGGCGCACGCACACATACACACACAAACATGCTCGTTCTAGATTGTTTTTGCAGGGGACTGAATAACGTCACATTCCCTACTTAACCCAGAGGAAAACCCTGTGCAGCAGATGCTCCTGAGTGGTTTTATGCCCCATGCCCTCTTCAGTTTATGGGACTGACAGTTATCTATGGTCTATTTGTTAGCTACAGATACATTAGTGAAAGAAAATACTATCAGAATTGCACAATGCATTTAGAAAAATAATTTATCTCCAAATTAGTTGATGAAATTCCTTTAAGGATTAAAAAAACCAGGGACAAATCACGAAATATCAAGGTCCTACTTTTGAAATAGGAATCTTGAATTCAGCATTTTCAAGTTTGGTAATGCCCTCAAAGACAACTGCATCACGGGATGCCTTGGGCCGCACCATCCATGACAAACTTCTTCTAAAGAAAATCATGAATATCAGCAAGTATGAGAGGGAAATAGTTAGCCTTCCTTTAAGAAAAGGCTCTCAAGGCCGGAGTGGGAAGAAAGAAATAGACTTTAAATTCCTGAAAAAGGGCCCTTCTCTATCACTCGGCGCGGGGCTTAGTTTTGTCAAACTCGGAGAGCAGGCATGTGACGGGTAGGCGCTTTTCCTCCCCTCCTCCAGAGTTCATGACCCTGGGGCCGTCTTGGGGTCCACTTTGCACCCAACATTTGCCGGGCTTGAGCTTGAAAATGGGAGGAGGTTAATCTGCCAATTATTAAGGTTTAACAGAGTTTACAAGAGGACATTTCTTTCTTTCACTTTCCTTCTCTCTCCCTTCCTTCCTCCTTTTCTTCTCTCTAAATCAGAATCAGAATGCTAGGGAGAACTACCAGCTCCCAATTCTGTAAAGATTTTAGTCCTGTTAGGGTCCTCCCACCATGCAAAAACAGCTTGTGCTGTATAAAAACCGAGACTTTAATCCCACTTGTTGCGTTCCCCGCCCTACTTTTTTTTTTCTCCCACTTTCGAGCTTCTTTACAGCAGCATCTCTCCCAGATCAGTCGCTAAAAATCTTTAATTTTGCCTATTTTGATCTGAAAATTGAATCTTATTTATTATGCATCCTGTTTGTTGTCCTTGAAGAACCCCAGCATTCATTTAAAGGGGTCCAGAATGACTTCTTAAACACATTTCTCTCTTTGCTGCAATTAAACAAAGTGGAGCTGTGATTAGTCCTCCACAGGGGGGAAAGAAAAAGACACCCTTGAATCAAAATGCGGGGACCTGGCTGGGCATTATTGCTTCACAATGCAGGAGTTTATTGCTGAAACCTGCTTATCCGCCAGCTCTACACTCCATGGGAACTTCAGTCAGGTGGAAAGTTATTCTCTTCTCTGCAGCTTGAAGTGTCGTAAGACCCCCTAAAGCCCCTAAAGCTCTTCCTAGTAACTGAGACATTTAGGATAATCTTTACGGGAGTTTTGCATGAGCTTCTGCTTTTTGTTGCACTTAGAAGGAGAGTTAATGATGAGCTTTCACTGGCTTCTCCTTTTTTTTTTTTTTTTTTTTTTTAATCTCAGCCAAAAACCGCCTGTTTAAGTTAAGTACCACCTCCCTCCAGCCCTTGGGAAACCACTCAAGAGGGCTTTGCTTGGCTCTGTGTTCATGACACATAATGAAAACAATTTTACGCTGTGGAGGGAAGTATTGGGCAATTACTGATGTAACAGCCACCTGCAGTAGCGAGCCCTGGCTGCAGCACTGCTCGGTTCATGAATATTTTATGGTGTGATGTTATTTTGAATGGCTGGGGCAGGTGAAGGGGGCCGAGGGTGTAATAAGTAGCTCTGCTGGAGGCTGTGTAGCTGCGCTGTTTCCCCGCGGAGCCCACAGTGTAACACCAAGAAGCATCCTGACCCCCGCCTGCACGGAGGCGAGGGCAGCTGGGGCTGAGGCAAGGAGCTATGACAAGTCACGGTGGGCACCCTTTACAAACTCTTGTCTGCCGATTTTACACCCGATGTCCAGCTTGAAAAGCCACAGCATCAATCTTGTCTGATTTAATTTGATAAATTAAGTGTGGATAAGGATTAAATGAGAATTTTGTAATGGAGAAAACTTGTCCTTACTCTTTAATCCAGTTACGATAGTATGGGAGAAACCCTATAAAATATAAAGTGATGACTAGAAAAGCAAAGCTAAGGACAGAAAGAGAGAGACTTTTTGCTTTAGAAACCTTACTGGAGAAGTTGAATGAAAATACTTTCTGGTGTTTGCATGTGAAGTACATATAACCCATACACACACATCTCTATCACCATGTGTGTTTATTTTAAGGAAGGTCTAGAAATACAGAAGGGAAATAGGAATTGCAACATGTTTTACATAATAAAATATGGCTACTCAGAATTGTTCATTAATAGGTGGGATATTTTGTATAACATTTCATTTTTCAAATGTTATTTTCCTGAAACTGTCAGGATTTAAACTGAGTCTCATAGCGTAAGAATACACTTCTAGCATTTCCGACTTTGCGATTCTTCCTTAATGGCATAAAGTATCAGGCTCAAAAATCATATTGTATATGACCAAGTGTAAACAGTATAAAATGATCTTACATGACAGCTCTATTTCTATAGACTAGAGGGTGTGGAGAGTGATGGAAATTTTAAAAAGACCATATAAGACTATTAAAATTCCTTTTTTTAAAAGGCCTGTGTCATTTCACAATGGTAGAGTATGTTTTCAAGGAAGTGTCTAAGAAGGGTATACATTAGACTTCAGGCTGAATAGCTTGATGTAGAGAACATGGTTAGAAAAAGGTACAAAAGATTTACAGAATCCTTGGACACAAATTGGCAAAGAACAGAAATTCTGAACAGAATCACAGAGGGAACATGTAGCTGACTCGACATTCCAGAAATAATGTGGGGCAACAGAAGAATTGCTGGAGTGACAATTTGAAGATTATAAAAGATACTCTTTAAATTTTTCTAAGTGCTAGCTTTATAGGTATGCTCATAACATTTCATAACATTAATTTAGAGCTTGTACCAGAATGAAATAATGTGGTGATATGTTAAAATTTCCATTTTAATGTTCACTTTGTAGAATATTAAAGTGCCCCTGCCTTCAGGAACTGACAATCCCATTTACACTTCAAAAATTAGAAAATTAGGATGACAAAGATGATAAGTGTTTATACAATTTGGGCATATGTTACTTTATCAATGGCAGTACATTACCTAAATTCTAATTTTGTTTAGTATTGAAATTAGTATCTCTTGGGTCCCATTGGAAGGATTGTCTCAAACTGCTTAAATATACTGCCCTTTGTCTATAAGTAAAGTCTGATGTCAGTATTTTTAAAATATTGGTGATTTTCATCGACAAAGAAGAAATGATGACTTTGGATGATCTCGATAAATCACGTCACTGTGACTTACCCACCCTCCACAAACAGGATGAATTCAAGAGAAATGCCATAAAATACCCAATAGTGTTAATGTAGCAATATTAATAAAAATTGACATATATTCAAGAAACTCCAAAATATTTAATTTTATCTCACTATGTATATATTTTCTATTTCATAATATATGTTAAAGGTGCTCTGATTAGCAATTTTATAAAGATCAAATTATTAACATGCAATAGATTTCAGATTCTTATAATTAGATTTTTAGCTTAAGAGATGTTAAACTCTGTATGTAAACGACATTATTTAAAAGCCTGTCTTCTAAAAGAAAATTGCTGTTTGACAATCCTATAGAATACTCAAGAAAGGTAATTATACGGCTCTGGTTGTTAAAGATGCAGGTGTTGACTAAAGTCACTGCTTCCAGTTTTGCAGAAAACTCCAACAAGGAAGAGAAAGATGGCATGGCAGGACTCCACTCATCCTGAGAATATCAGTTTGCATGCTCTCCTTATCTTCACAAAAGGAATACAGTAACGATCAGAAGAAAGAAATCCCAGCCAACCCACCAATGCGAAGGAACAGTGAGAAAAGAAAATAGCTATCTGTAAGATGCGTAGGGGCACTGCTATGTCCAAGTCAGATATGGATAAAACATCAACAAAAAACTGGGACTATTGTCCTTTTAAATCAAATGCTTATGACTGTTTTTTTTTTAAACTTATTTACTCAAGTATGAGTAACACTCTTTAAAGCAGATTTAATTTGGGGAATTACAAATTGCATGAAAATGCTAATGGAATTATTTAATTCGACTATAATGTTTTGTAATATTAAGAAATATTGGGCCTAGGGAAGACATAATTGCCTTTACTTATGAGTAAACTATTTTTCATGGACTGTCATGTTTCTGACCCAGAATGAATGTGCATGCACACACACACACACACACACACACACACACACATTTGAAGAGATTGGCACTATTGGAATGGATGTCTTATGGTATATTGCGTCCCTTAGCTCGACAATAAACACAGCGTTTTTTTCTGCACTTGAACTACATAAAGTTCTGGCAGATGTTTGTCATCATGCTTGCACAGTCAATGGGGAACAGAAGTTTACCAGATCACGGATCAATAAAACTAAACTTGCACAAAGTCAAGGGGCACACAGATTTTAGTTGCCTGGACACTTCATTCTCCTCTTTGCCTTTCCCAGGGATTTTAAAACAGATGTTCAGAGTTGTGAAAGAACTGGAAAAAAATGCTGGGTACCATCATAGTATTTTTTTAAGTCCTTAAACTTCCTATGTTTTTAAGAGAAATTTAATCAAAAGGCAAGTGAGGGGCTGGGAATTTAGCTCAGCCGCAAAAGCGCCTGCCTGGCAAGTGCAAGGTTGTGAGTTCAATTCCTGGTACTGGAAGAAAAGACAAAAATAAATAAATAAATAAATAAAAAATAAAAATAAAAAAGCAAGCATCTCACACCATTTTTTTCCCTACTCCAGCTCAAAGGGTACCCAAAGAATGACTTTCCTGTCTTTTGTTTGCTAAAGATCCCATTCTCTTCCCTATCAGAATATTTGTCCTCCCAAATAGTTTCAGTCCCAGCCCTGCTATTCACCTTCAAGGTCACCAGTCACTGTATCTCTTCAGGGTTCACTCATTACCCCTTCGTTGAGTGGATTCACCTTTCTCATGTACAGGCATGGACTCCAATGCAAATGGTGCCCTCTACAAGGAGTATCTCTGACCTGAATACAAGAGCTCAGCTTCTCAGCGGCAAAGGGTAGGCTTCTGTAGTGTTCTTCCAGTACCTAATGCTCATTAAAACAAGCTCACCACCTTCAAACTACTTTCTCTCTCTTTCCATTTGTATAGCAGCCTTGTCTCGCCAAGCATTTTTCACCATTTAGAGCTCCTTAATTCTCACTGGAGCCTTGGAAGGACAGCAGAGAAGTATTTAATCCTAATTTGGGGAATCAGAACTCCCCATACCTAAATTTGAATTCTGTTCTCTGCACTCCCAATTCAGGGTGTTTGCTTCTGCCTTTGATGCCTGTCTTCACAAAGCTGAGACATCCGAATTTGACTTACAGAAGCAAGAAGTGGTTGTGTGTGGGTACTGAAGCACAGTTTGGGACACTGCTTCTATTTTGGCTGGGGCAGGGAAGCTGAGGCAACACAAACAATATAGTAGCTGCTTCTTTATTGCCTTAAATCAGCACTGGGCAGCACCAGGTGGGCGTGTTGCAGGACACCATTGTGATTGACGGGCTGACTGATTCAAAGTCCTTTTGAAACAAGTAAGTCTTAGAGCTCCCCAATTGCCTTTAGTGGCACCTATTTCTGAAGAAAAAAATTGTTGGGGAGTGTAGACATAATGGTGGGAGCTTGAGACACTGGTAGTTTACCTCCTCATGAACAGACATACCATCTGAGAAACCTGATGGACAGGAAATGTGAAGTTTTTTCTGCTGCATTTCACACAGTTTCTTCTGTTGCATTTCACATCAGCTACTGATGAAAACACTGGTTATAATTTTTCCTTTGAAGTCCAACTTCCCCAAAACAAGACTTCAGGAACTAGCATGTAGGTGTCATGGAGTTTTATTAACCTGTATAAAGCAGTTAACCCCCGGAATCCACTTTAAATGTTTTTAAAATGGAGCAGCTGCATCATTTCATGTAAACAGCATCCTTAGATGACCCTACACCAAAATTCTAGAACATTCCATAGTTTTCTGTGGAATATAAATTCTACTTCTCTGGCCATATCCCACCCCACCTTTCTACTTCTTTAATACACATTAGCCGCATAGATACTCCTCTCCTGTAACTTGCGGAATTGCCCCTGCTTTAGGGTCCTGGTACTTAGTGTCTCATTACAGAGTAACGGTCTTCTCTAGGTGATCAGCTGGCATCGTCTTTTTCTTCTGCTGTCAAAGAAAATCACTCCTCAGAGAGAGGATCATTTACATATGTCCCTCAGTTTTCACAGAATTTTATTTCTTTTCTTTCCTTTTTTGGTAGCAATCATGATTACCTAAAACATGGTGTTTAACTCTTTTCAATGCCCCCTCCCCCTCCAGAAGATCTTATCTGCCTTTTCGACTACTGATTTTTAATGTTTACAGCAGTTTTGGTACATACCAGGTGCTTAAAAATATTTGATGGTTTATGTTAGTGAATTATAGCTTGTGTAAAGAATTAACACTTAGTATTGTATTATCTTGCATCTACTTAGTGCTTCACCATTCATAAAGTGAGTGCATTCATCTTCCCGATCTCATTCATCTTCCTGATAATCCTGTGGGGTGGATCAAGGGCATGTATTATACCCCATGAGACCTGGGGTTCCAAGAAGTTAATGAACTGCCTTTGGTGTGGGAAAGCTAAGATTTCATTAAAAGGTCCCTGATGATTTTATTCTTCCTACCACTTTAGTAGGAAAGATTGACCTAGAAAGAAAAGAACAATGGAGTCAATTTTATCTTCTTTTGTAAACCAAATGCAAAATCCTCTATAATTCTCACTAAAAAAAAATACAACAAAACTTTATAGATAGTTATACGGATTCATACTTGACTCTGAAATCTAAGCCTAACAGACGTCACAGATACGTTTTTTTCTAAGAAAGAGCTAAATTTATATTTGCTGAGTATATGTTAACTGTATATATATTGTTAGGATTTAATTGAAAAATATAATTTAAGAGTCTAAGGTAGAGTTTCAAGAGGAGTTAACATTGCTATAGTTTAGTAAACCATACTGTACTAGTTAATCTCACAATGGCAACTATTTGTGGGATATCAGTTATACAATTACTTAATTTCTGGTGTTATAAAGCAATGGAATATTTAAAGATTGAAATTTAAGTTCTAAAGTTTTTTTGGTATAGATTGCTTTGTTATAATAAATAATGATATGGACTCTGATAGCTGGAAGGGATTTCTGTGCTGAAAAGTTGGTGTAACACACCCAAAGTAAATACCAGGTTGATTGTGAGAAGCAAATCTCTAACTCAGGTATTTCTCCCCCATCCCAGTATTTTTTCAGTTCATCAATACCTGAATGAAAGGAGTTTGAATTGAGTTACTATTCCAAAATAATAAAGCATGTTTCATTGATATAAATGTAACCACTCATTTCCTTTTAAAAAGTGATGGATCAATTTTTAATGATGAGCAAATATGTCTACCTGTGCTTAGCAAAATTGTGCTGGATAAAAGTATGTGATTCCTAATTTTTGATGAAAAAGTAGAGAGAAGTTTTTGTTCTTTTCCTCCAAGAGAAAAATTAACAACTTTTCTGAATTCTCTTGAAATAAGATGTATTTCAAAATAATGAGGTATTTTAGATGCTAAATCAATACAGTATTTGAATGACATAATGATTAAAAATGGCATTGTAAATAAGAAGGAAACATGAAGTACTCTTGAAATGGTTAGGAATGGGTGGGATCTGATACTACTGTGATCATCCTTGAATACTGCAGGAATATATAAAGCATAGCTAAGCCTATGTAAAGCCAAAAAAATTTTATTTTTCAGTTCCACATTAGATGCATAATGCCTCCTGATCTGATTTTTAAAAGATTTTTTTAAAGGCATATGCTATATCTCAAAATGTTATATTTTATTTGGTGATGGTGGATAGTTTTATGTACTGAGAATGGGAACATCCTTGTGATTCAGGGAAAGCAATGAAGGAAGATTTTTGTTGTTGCTATAAATGACTTCAGACTTCTGACTAAGCAGGTTAGATGATAACTTGGATACAAAGTAGAGATCCATAAGAAAGAATTATGCGAAGACTCTTAGAGCTGGGTTCATAGTCTTATTTCACTTTACCAGCCAAGGTGAATGTAAAGAATTATCAAGGGAACCTCAGTTATAATTAAGGAAAGGCAAATCTTTAATTATGTAAGGAAACAGCATTTTTTGGTGGAATTATGTAATGTCTTTCTATTTAATGAAGTACTTTTGTTTATAGGTAGCATATAGAATATTTTTACTCCAAGTAATTTACCAACACAACCACAAATTCCTTCATTTTTGTTAATAAAACCAAAAATTCACTGGCAAGCGCAAGGTCGTGAGTTCAGTTCCCGGTACCAGAGAAAAACCAAAAAAAAAAAAAAAAAATTCAGGAGAAATAGAATATACACTCAAGGACATTTAAGATGCCTGCAAACAGATTCTTCTAGACCCATGTGGTGAGACAAATCAGCCAGTTGGTCAGGGAGGCAGAGTTTATTGTGTTTTCTCCATGGTTGAAGTTTGGGCAGTAGAAGGTAAAAAACAGTCATTCCTGACAAGAAGTTTGCATTTAAATTTTAGATAAACTAAAGGGCTACCTCTGATGTGGCTTTGGGCAGATCATTTAACTTTTCTTTTCTTTTTTGCTTTTTAAATTTTTTTTTTTATTTTACAGATAAAAGAGCCAAAACATATGAATAGCCACACAGACATAAATAAAACAACATAGAAATGATAAAAGCAATACAGAATTTCAGATAAGGTGATAGGAAATTAACAATGGTTGTTGTATTACATATTAATATCTTCAAATTGGTTACTCAGACAAACAAATATAGGCCTGTAAGATTGATCAAACAATTAAACATTAACTATGCATTTCAATAACACAATAGAAATTAGTAGTACAATTATCTTAGCTATCCTGTGCATATATATTCATATTTTCCTCTTTATTCTTTCTTTTCTCTTTTCCCTCATCCCAGTCCATTTAACTTTTCAATCTTTGTTTTTTGCAAGAAATAAATAAGATTTTTTCTGCTTAAGAGAAATACTTAAGAGCACCAGATTTGAATTCAAACAAAACTACAAAAATCCTAATGCAATCTTAATAAAATGGAGTATTGCAGTATTTTAAAAGAACAAATATATACTAAGTTGGGTTTATCTCAGGAATGCAGTGTTGACTTAACATTCAAATATCAATGTAATTCATCATATTATCATAAAAAATTAAGAAAATCACATTATTGTCAAAACTGAAAAATTAAAACCTATTCATGATAAAAACACTTATGAAAATAACAATGTAAGAATAAGAAAACTTTCTTGATCTTAATCGTATTATTATATCAGTTACTTTTCTCATTGCTGAGACAAAATACCCAATATCCAAAGATAAAAGAGAAAAGGTTTACTGCAGCTCACAGTCTGTAGAGGTTTCAGTTCATAGTCGGCTGGCTCCAAGGCAGGGTGGCATGGCAGAGGGCCATCGCAGCAGAGAAACAACTCGTGGTGGGCAGAGGACAGCAAGGCAGCAAGCAATGAAGTAGGGAAGCAACAGCAGGTCGCCTGCCTTCTTTCTGTCCCTTTGTATCCATCCAGGCTACTTGCCCTTTAAGTGGTACTACACATACCCTGTGTGGGCCTTCCCATTACCCACACCCAAAACTATGCCAAACTAATCAGTGAACTAATTTAGTAGTCACACACCTTTACTCCCAGCATCACACACCCTAGATCTAGCCACCTCTGAAATGTCCCTTCTATGTAGCATGAGTCTTTGGGGGAACATCTACATACAAGGCATAACAAGCACTACCTACAAAAAGAAGAAACCCAACAGCAGCATCATAATAAATGAGAATATCCTGTATTTAGGATAAAGCACACTATTTGGCTCTTTTTGCCCCTGTATTTAGGATAAAACACATGACTTTGTTACTTTCACTACCATCACATTAAATTAAATACTGCTTAAGTACAGCTGACAGGCAGGGCTCAGCTGGGACTCCCACCCTACACTTACT